CACTTGTAGGCTACTACTGTGTGTGCCGTAATTATTTTGTAATTGCCTCCACAGCCGTTTTAACTCCCATGTTACACTCAAACAGTCTCAGCTCGTTACTGATCCATGCAAAATATCTGGTTCGGTTCTTCATCTGCATTATTTAATCATTCGCCAAATCTTAGCCAAATTTTCTGAACTACTGCTTCATGTTTACACCGGCACGCACATGCCCAATGTACATGAACGGCCATCAGATGTGCGTTTTCAGACGTTTTAATGTAGACGGAGATCAACTCTGATACGCAGCTAAAACGCTGGTATGGACGGAGATCGTATTCGATTCAAAACTCCATTTTTAAACAAAACGGAGTAGTGATATGGGGCCAAAGGCACAAAGAGAGTTGGGGAGGTAGAGAGAGACAGACAAAGGGAGATGGATCCACTACCTATGCAGACTACAGCAGGAAAATCTGTCTGGCCTCCCCCTCCCCGAGCAGGCTATTACAGTAATGATTGCAACCGCCAGAGTGACGTCATGTATCTATAGCATTACTGCATGCACTGATGTACAGGACAAAGAGTGAGTGAGAAAAGCAAGGCAAGAGGGGGAGGCAGGGATGGAGAAAAACAGGGCTGGGGAGAGAATTGAGAGAATGTAGGGATATAGGGGATCAGAGGGCAAGAGGAAGTGTGGTAAATACGAATGAGAAATAGAAGGGATTAAAGACAAAGAAAACAGCGATGGGAAATTAATTTGCGTAGGCCCCTCCCTCATTTGACTCGCCCGGCTTTGTTACATGTGCAGGTGGAAAAATCAGCTTGAACACATATTAGATAACAGGGCCCCCCCATCACACACACCCACATTCAATTGCCCTCCACAGTCCAGTTCACAAAAACAATAAAACACTTATTGCGCACATATGCATGTTGGTGGCTCCTCCACCCGACATGATTAGGATAATGAACGCTGTGACAAAAGGAGACCGCCAATTATCTCGTTCTTTAATCCTAATTGGCTGGAGATCACTATCACTCTCTAATCTGATGCACAATGCTTCTAAAACGGAGCACACGGTTCAAATGAAATCTTGTACTTGTGGAGCGCTGTGCTGAAATCATGTGACAATCAAGCTTATCCTGTATTCACGTATGGAAAGTAATTGAGGCACTCTTGTGCACATTCCCACAGTTCCATGCATTGACTACTGGGAGCTGCCCAGTACAATCAGCTTTCATTTATTGGCCACTGAGCAACTCTGAGCAGCTGGTGGTTAAGTGCCTTGTTCAAGGGCACCTTGATGGTACACTGCAAAAATTCCCCCACTACTAACAAGAAAAATATTGGGTAATGAAGAAACTACTACTTTCTAGTTATCTGGAAACAAATTTAATAATGCAAATTGTTTTGACAAGATTATTTATCTTGTAAAAGAAGCAAATCATATTAAATCATCCTAAATATACTTATATTATTGCCCTCTTGCAGTTTAAAGTAGATCTTATCTTATTATAGTAGAACTCTAATAGCAGGCCCATTGCAGTGTAATTACTTCCTCTTATTAAAAGATTTCCAGACAAACTCCATATGACTTTGAAAAAAAATCTTTATTTTGCACACAGATGTGTCATCCACTAAGAGTTATGATCAACGTCCGTGTTGGCAGTTGAAACCAAGCTACTTGGCTGAAGTATATCACTGATATTTCCAGAGCACAAAGACAGAGAGGCCCTTTATTTTAGGCAGGCATGGCAGGGGGCGACCTGAGGAGCTATGAAACAGGGGGCCTCTTGAGCGCGACCACCCCAAAACAGCCCGGTGCCCGGCTGACACTTTAGAGCTGCAGAGGAATTTACCGTGACAGCGGAAACAGCCTCTCCTCAGGTGGATGTTCATAAAGGCAGAGCCAGGCACGAGCAAGCGTGCAAGCACACACCACACACACACACACACACACACACACAAACAAACATATCCAGACCTTAGCAGTGAACCCTGCCAAAGCTCACCTCCCTGTAACCTTGGTGGTGAGATTCTAGGAAAATGTAAGCCTTTCCTCACCTTTAGATCCTCAAAATGTTCTCAGCCACCCTTGTACAGGGAGGTCCTGTCAACACAGTGTCAGATTAACACTCATATTATCATGTTTCTCAAAGAGCAAGCATGTCCACTAACTATTAAAACTGAAGTCTGCCTTCCTACAACTTTCAGCGTCCAAACAGGAGCTTTCTAAGCTCAGTTGAATGTTTATGTGAGTACAACTAGTTGGTTCCTAGCTCGTTTCCCGGGGGCATGATTAGTGGGGGAGAAACACTTCCTGTTACAAGAACAAGTATTTCAAAAGTAGTGGTATTGGGGCCTTGGTGGGGACCCAGACAAGGGCTGTTTACATCATGGTATGGTTGCTTTGTTGAGAGTCCAAAAAAAGGTCACGTGGCAAAACCAAGGGAGCCATTATAACATCCAGTTGCTGTCGTCAAACTGAAGACTGGGGTAGAAGCCAGGGCAGGCCTGCGCTTGATCAGCAGGGCCCCTTCAGCAGGCGTCCGACCAGAGCCAACCTGGTTTGGCATTAGTAACCAACTCTATCTACTGTACTTAGGGGCAGAACCATTCCTTGGTTCCGATCCAGATCAATCAGAGAGGTATGCCTGTGAAGAAAGTCTGAACTCTGGTGACCTGGCAGCGCAGGATGAAACAACACGCATCCTGGCTCTGCTTCCAGGTATTTCCGGAGTGCACCGTGGGCCTATTTTACAGTGAACCCACATATCGGCTTTCAAACTGAAAGTAAGTGAATTTGTGTGCATAAGCGCACATGTATGTTTGTGTGTGCATATGTACTATCAGCACATATGCATGTCGCTAACATGTTTTCTGATGAGTCAATATATCTGCATTTCAAATAAAGATAATGAGCAGAGCAGGAGTGAATGAAAGGGAGAGGGGGAGGAGTCTGGTATCTATAGATGGGGAGGGGGGGGACATTCCTGAAGCCTGATGTCGGAGGTAAATTAAAAATATCCCTGGCTGCTTGGAGGGGTCCAAGGCGGCTGACACACACTGCTCAGTCAGGGAGCTTGCTGCTGATCCAGTAAGCGCTCACTCACAGCCAATTATGCTTCCTGTGATGTGTGTTCAACCCCCCTTACACGCCCCCCCGCTACCCTGCCTCCTTGCCTTTACCCCTCTAGCCACACCAGCCAGAGAGAAAGCTGTCAAAGAGCCGGGATCAAACCTCCAATCAAACGCTGGCTGTCACACACCCAGGTGATGATTAATGGCTTATATTCTCTGACCCAGAGAAGAAAGGAGAACAGAGAGTGAGCTACAGATGGGAGTTTTCAACTCATTACAAAGCACAGTAACATGTGTGGAGAAGACCAGGCATCCTCCGTGTGTTCGTGCAGCCCAGCAACTGGCACTGGCAGGCAATTACGATGTTGAGAGATGAAAGCTTCCCTCCATTAAGAAAGCAAGGTTGTCGAAGGTTTTCTTCACTTCCAGGCAAATTAACAAATTAGATACAAGGGGTTCGCTATTCACCTGTGTGTCGCTCTCTCGTACAGAAGCCCAGAGCCCAGAGGTTCTCCCTTACTTTCCCACACACACACTAACGGACTCACAGTAAGGGTCTCGCCACTGGCGCCCAACCGTGTTCTGCGGTGGAAACCAAACACTGGCCTGTTTTGACTGGATGTGATCCTTGTTTCCGGGCGGAACGCTGCCAGAGGCAGATTGATGGCTCTCACCCAGAGGAGGACGTTTACAGGAAAATCCTCCTGGCTGGAATTCTCCTTCTTTTCATATTGGACTCGAAACACAGGGTCGCAGTCATGGCTGCGCTGGGGCAAAGTGCTCCCCAAGTGATAATGAAGGGAATGTTGCTGTGCATATTGCCACACACACACACGTTTGTACTCCTGTACTTCTGGGGGCTGTCATTAAAACAATGCATTTCTAGCCTCTAGCCCTAACCTTAACAATCACAACTACATACCTAACCCTACCACTTAGTCTAACCTTGTGCACTGGTTTATTACAATTTGGGTCTTATTTTAATATTTTGGCTGTCATATCTATTGATTATAGTAATTACTTGAGAAAGTCCAGCGGATCAACACACGAGTAGTCAGATGATCATGCAGGCTGTAAACAACCCAACAGTTTAGCCATATAGTCTAAAAATCAGGGGTTGTCAAAGTCTGAGACTGTAGGCCTCCCCTCAGACAAAGCTTGTAAAGGGCAACCTCTTAGTTTACTTGCTTAGTTTTGTGTAATTCCTGGATACCTATGGGATCATGATCATGTTAATTGATCCCATAGACACTCAACAATTGGGCCAAGATACCTAATATTGCTGTCTGACATAACTTCAGACCATAGCAAATACATAAAAACGTTCTGTCCTAAGGCATTTTACAGTAAACTTATCCCAAACTACTGTATCTCTGAACAATCTCTTTGACCAAATCATACACATTTAGGCTATTCTATGTAATCTCCTTCTGGTAACTAATTTAAATTGTTTTCACTTCCATTCACTGAGCCTCCCTTGAAGCTGTTTGGAGTCCCCTTGGGAAGGTCCACCTCGCACTTTGAAAACCTCTGGTCTTATCATTTTATTTGTAGGTAAAACAAAAAAAATTTTTGGTAATAGTCCCTCATTGCACAGGAAAAGTGTGTACATGTACAACTACAGTGTGGTAGGTCAAACTTGTATGATCATGTGGTTGCTCTGTTTCCTGCTACATCTGACTTTTTTAGCAGTGAAACTGATATTACAAATATGAATGAAGGCCAAAACTAAAGACCCAAGTTCCAATTAAGCTTTAAGTATTAACCCTCAAATGGCTCTTCAAAATGTGAAGCATCCTCACTTTCAAGGTATAAATCTAAAACTGCTAACAAAGATATAAGTTCAAGAGCACACAGATATTCTAAGTACAGAAAAATACACTATACGGACACATTAAACAATATACTTGTACACAAATCCAACTCCAATATGTATCTGTCATCATGTACACACACTCAAGTTGAAGCCATATGAATGAAAAATCTTCTCTGCTCCATTCCTCCTCAGCAACAGGAAGACAGACCATTTGCTTCCGCAGTGGGTTGATCGAAGAGAAAGACGAACACTGAGAATAAAGCAGCAGAGGGAAAAAAAGGAGAGATAGGGAAAGACAAGAAGGAGGAAGGAAGAAGGGAAGAGGTTGGGCAGGATGTGGAAAGAGGAGAAAATGACAGAATAAGGTTATATGTATACCGATACTCAAACATGCATACTTCCATGTAATTAATATGAACAGTGTTATATGTGCTACATCATCTCTGGAAACGTTGATATATCAATAACTACTGATTTAATTGCACTGTCTTTCAGTTTACTTGCTTGTGTGTGTTGTGTTCCTGGTGATGCGATCTCTTGCTTTGGCAGCATAAGAGGAGATATACTGTAGATGCACAGAGAAAGAGAGGGCCGAGAAGTAGAAAAGAGAACAAGTGAAGAATAAGATGAGGAGAAGAGATCGAAAGAGGCAGAGAGAGTAGAAAGGGAAGGAGAGAAGGGGAGTAGTGACAGTGATAGAGAGCTAGGACTCCTGGGACAGCAGTAGAGGCGAGTCCATCGATCCAGGACAGTGAGCTGGCTCACATTTCACCTCCTCAGCAGTAATAGCGGCGCTTCACCATGGAACTGAGCCCTATATCCCGTCTGGACAGGGTCACCTCCACTCTATATATATATATATATGTCTGTCTTTGTGTATGTCTGTGTGTATGTGTGAGACAGACACAGGAAAACAGATCTGAAAAAAATATATGAGAAATTTAATCTGGAATATTAAAACGATTTCACTTGATTTCACTGTAAATCAAATTATTTAAAAATTCTTTAAGGACCTTGATAGAAATGAATAACGATAAAACACATTCACTAATTTATATTTTTGATATGATAGGCCATGACACTATTCACATCTAATTTAAAATGAAGGGCATCCCAGCCAAGGAACGTTGTGAGCTGATGCTTTTCATCACGCTGCTGTCCCACCACATGTCTTCTAAACACTGTCCAATTTGGATCGTCCCTTAAGTCACATGGCGTTGTGATCAGGGGGAACTGATAGCCTGAATGAATCACGTCCATCCGTAAGTGGTGGGCTGTGAAGGCGACTGGGCTTGGCTCTCAAAGCCATCCACTGTCATCCGAGACAGCCAAGCCATGTGACAGACGACCGAGCATGTGGCATCTCACTGACCCTGACCCGGAAACCTTTCCCCTATCTGCCCCTGCTGTGGCTAACGGATGGCCCAGAACCTCAGTGATCACCGACCACTGGGGATCTTTTGTGTGAGTGGTCAATCACATCAGAAAAGGTTACGCAGGGGTCACATCAGAAACAGGTGAACTCTGACCCTCCGCTGCAGGCCCTAGGCTGTGGTATTTGGGTTGGGTGTGTAGGAGCATTGATAAGATTGAGACTCATGGAGACAGATGACAGATAAGATTGATGCAACTGTTTGCAATGAAAATTGTATGTATGAAAACAGACCACACAGACAAGATAAAAGACCAACTTTACAATGGAATGAATAAAGAGAAGACTAAACTATGACCTTCATCAAGCAATCTTCTATCAAACTGATAACTTTCATGTACTGTATACTGATTTATGTGAGGCTACGATGGCGAGCACAGTATTCAGTTTATGAGCTTACTTAAGGCCACAATTGTATAAAACAATGTTAAAGGCCAGAGATTAATCTCGAAGAAACAATTTACAGTACCAGAGGGAAAAACACTTCTGTCCTTTATAGTGTCAATTACTGAGGCTAGTTAGGTTTGAGAAAAACTACAATTTCCCTGGCCAGTCTTTTCATATCTTTGTAGGGGGAGCCGGAGGGCAGACTAAGGACTTTTTCTGGACTCGGACCAAAACCTTTTCAGCACCAGTTGGGTTTATACCCCACCTGACAAACCTGACCACCCAGCAGGCCAGTGACATTTACAGTGAGCCGTTTCAGCCCATTAGCCAGCATCAGATCCTCATGCTGCGGCACCTCGTGAGCGACACGACCAGCGGGTCCAGGATTTAACTGAACCCAAACACCACCACCATCACCACCTCCTCTGCTTTTGCTGGAACAATAAAAGCTGGGAAGAGATAAATTAAAGTTCATCCCACATACAGTATATTTGGATATGAATCATTGATTGATTTATAGAACTTATGAAAAACAAATGATGCAAATGAAAGAAGTTCAAAGACATAAATAAAATAAAATAATTTCATCCTTATGACTTTACCATGTCGCTGTAGACAGTTTCACAGTTAAGAGTTAATTTTCTACACTCCACAGTCTGAACTCACACTGATCCAAGGTCAGACAGAGGGAGAGACCGCAAAAAACCTGTCACACAGGATCTCTAAACCCTAAACTCACAGTGCTCTTGTCTCAGGTTGGCCTCAGAGCCCGAGGGACACATCTACAACATTGCTAAACTAACATATCCCTGGTCTCAGGTCAGAAATTAAACACAAGGAAAAACAGGGGCTACAGTATGATTTTGGCCTGTGGCAGATGCTTTTCACACTGGAAATGTATTTTTGTTCAGAGCTGTATGACTCACATGCAATCAAAACATCCATGTAAATAACTGTACGTGCACACTTTCAAACATGAACACACACACACACACACACACACACACATTAGTGATTGACAGAGAAATTCCTTTGACCCTCATTTGCTAAGTTGTTCTACAATCCTTGAAATTATATTTATTTATACTTTTTTCCCCTCAGCAGCACACAAAAGGCCTTTTACAACGATGATCTGCACATCCATTTCCTTCCTACTGCATACGAAACATTTCAAATGTTCTCTCTTAAGTGTGAATTTTCTTTCATGGAAGTGAGCCAACAAGAAGTCAACTCTCTCTCTCTCTCTCTCACCATCTGGCCATTCAAATGGATAGTAGTCCCAAAGGTCAAGGCAGCTATGGTCCATCGTGACCCTGTCAATATCACTGCTGCACTTATCTGTAATGGAAGACACTTTGTGCGGCTGATAGTCAGATGGGGGGTCGTAGAACGTGTGCTATGAGCGAGTGTGTGTACGAATTTGTTTCTGTATGTGGGAGCCATGACTGCCTCCATATTATGGCGAGGAACGCAGTTAGGATTCTGCCATTGAAATACTCACCAGTCTAGGGTGCCAACTGTGTGTTGGCGTGAGTGTTTCAGTACACAATGAAAGACTAAATAAGTGTGTCACCTCGCACTGGGAGTTATTCCACCCAGAGTCCTTGACACACTGACTAAGTAACACGATGTATGCAGGGGTAGCGGTGCCTATAAAAAGCCTTGTTGGAATTAAAGCGGGGCTGTCCTCCCTGTAGCTAGCTCTCATAGCGCAGCCCTTCTTGTGCTGGAGCCAGATAATAATGAAATGCTGGTGTGAGACAGGAGACGGGGGAAAGAATCACGCCTGTGGAACAGAGAGCTAATAATAGCAGCTGAAACTGTGCTATTCCCACCACTGACAGAGGAACTATCATCACACTTCTGCACACAGAGGCTCAGACAGGCACTCGCACACACACTGGCTTGGCACGTTGTTTGAACAGTAACCTGATCAAGTCACCGCAGAAACCAAAGCAATCAGAAATCAAAGCAAATCCAGTATATGTACAGTATGTGCACGGGTGTGCATGTGCCGTACAAATGTGAGCGTGGATGTGTGTGTGTAGGGAGCAAGGGCGGGCGAGGCACAGATAAATGGAAGCAGAGTTTGGTGAAAAACCACTTTTCCCTCCATAAAGCAAGGAGCGCATGCCTCTGATGTGCCCTACCAGGGAGGAAAGAGAGGAAAGAGGGCCTTTCATTCCGCACGAGGAGATCTGTCTCTTCTCCTTTAGCCCCTCACTCCCCGTCTTCGCTCCTAGAGAGCATCTGAAGCCCATTCTCTCCCTCTCTTCCCCTCTCCATCACCCGCAAATATAACAACATCTCTCTTTGCTCCTAATTGTACCCAGCCGTCACAGAGACGAACGAGGTGAGCAGATTGGGAGAGGAGAAGAGGGAAGTAAAAAGAGAGGAGAGGAGCGGAAAGGAGAGGAGCAGAGAAATAAGTATGGCAGGGAAGAGGAGTCAGGGAAGAAAGGAAGAAAGGAAAGATGTGTTTGTTCAGTACAACAGGCTGACACATCTCTCTTATCTCTTGCCCAGCCAAACCATATGCCCTCAGGCCATGAGGGGAGGAAGGGGAGAAAGATGAGGTGTAAGTGTGTGTGTGTCCTGGAAAGACATACTTTAATGTACCCCCCCGTACATTAAAGTATGTCTTTCCAGGACGCAGAAAGTCATAGAAGAGGCACATGTCATGTACGTAAAAGTTATTCAAGGTCAGCCAGAGATTGAGACAGAAATATAAAAGATGAACAGCGATGAAGAGTGGACAATGAACAGATACATGGCGAGGAACTGACTTGAACCAAAGGGGCTTCTGCCTTGACCCGCAGTCCCCTACAGCTTGCCAGTCGCCTGTTGACCACACACGCCGCCTGGCACAGGGCGGACGCCAACGCCACACGACACAGAGCCACCGTCAAAGCCTCAGACACTCCAGCAGCAGGAGCCATCAGGCATGGCCCTGTGGAAGAAGAAGGGGGGGGGGATCAAACAGTTTTGATTATACACAGGCATTCACTCTCTGGAAACAAAAGTGGACACAAATTGTGAACGTCAAACATTATTTTGACCGCTACTGTATTTGGGAAAAGTTCTGTTTGGTTAGTTTTGTGTTACCAGGCCACAGCCTGAAACCTGCCAAGACATTAACATATAGCTATATAGGTTTGATTTGTTGAGTTGAATGGTGAGTTTAATGTACACAGTAGTATCCTGACTCTGTGACCGGGGCGCTGCCTGTGAGTGTGTGACTGGTCCCACATGTTCAACTCCCGCTGAACCATGCGTCCTGATTCCCCTGTTTATTGACTGGAAACTGAAACCTTTAAGGGCTTCATTCATGCTACATTACGTGGTAAATTCAATAGCCCAGGCATCATGGTTTGGTCATTCACCTTCTTGCCCTGGGTGATTTTTACATGTGTGGATGTCTGCATCTCTCTGCGTTTTCCTTCACAGAAGCCATTCTGTTTCCCAGCGCTCCGTTGCACAGCCTCATTTTAAATAACACCTCCAGTTCGGGCGCTATACGTGCCCAGAGGGCTGGTGAAGTCGTTTTTATTTTATTCAGTGTGAGTTTAACGCCCTTTTAATAGGCACAGAAATTTATCCGGGTGGGGATAGATCCCGATGTGTGACTCCACATTACAGGAGCACCATTAAATGTAAACTCCTGCAAAGTAAGCTGCTTCTAGGAGTAGATCCAAGTGTGTGTGCGTAAGTCAGCGTGTGACCGGCTATCAGCAGCTCATGGTGTGGATTTACAGCGTGCCTCCCGAGTATACTTCCGAGCCATCTCACACACACACACACACACACACACACACACACACACACACACACACACACACACACACTCCTGGGTGCGGAAGGTGCGCTCTTTATCACTGTGACATTTCATTTAACACGCAGCCCAAGAGCTCTTACATTCACATCCATGTTTCCTGTGCCCCATGCTGAGGCACAATACCAACCACTTAACATTTAGCAATGGCAGATCAGCCCCAAATTCTTCCACTTCCCAACGCTTCCATGGGAAAACTCATTATTTAACTTTGATTTATGGCGCCCATTTAGGAACAGTTGTATCTGCTCTGAACTTCAGTGTTGAGCTGCACTGAATGCAAGTTATGAGCAGAGCCAGCGGGCATTTTTGCATAGAGTGCCCCCCAAGATAAATTAAGGGTTCGCAAGATAATTAAAGGGACAAAAACAAATTTCTGTTGCACATTTATTTTTGTTTGTCTAATTTTGTGAAATGCTGGATACGTTTACCTTTTCTGGCTGCTGAAAATCCTTCAAGTAAAACAATCTACAAGGGAAAAATAAACCATTACCATAACCTATGACAAAGGGGTCGCAATTATGGCTTGCTTTTATAAATTTTTTGATTGTTTGGTAAGTTTAATGTCAGAAAATAGTGGAAATTGCCCATCACAATTTCCCAGAGCCCGTTACGAAATCTTCTAATGGCCAGACAACAGGTCCAAATTCAAAGAAATTAAATTTGCTTTGATGCAAGACAAACTGAAGCTGGCAATATTCACATTTGAGAGGCTTGAACCAGTTTTGTTTGGGAAATAACCCAACATAAAAGAAGTTGCAGATAAATTTCCTGTTGATGGCTAATCTACTGAGCTCTCTGGATTTGCATTTAGGGGTCAAGGGGCAAAAAAGGCTGGTAACAACTGCACTGGGCTACAAATTTCAGCGCTTTTAAAGGCAATTAACTTTTTCAGTAAAAAAAAAAAAAAGTCTGTTTAGAAAGGCCCTTGTGGTTGGGGTCCATCTGTAGGAAGACTCATGGCATTTCTTTTATGTTTCGATAATTGGCCTGCATGCACAGCTTTAGACTGAATATTGGGACCTCTTGACTGAATGCATGTCAGACATCAGTTCAGTTAGCCACCTAAAAGGGGAGCTCATGAAAAGTATGGCGGACTTGTGTTCCTCACTGTATCTCACCTCCGACTTAATGTAAACCAGATGTGACGGATGATGATTTTTCTCTCACTCTTTCATTTGCTACCGACGGATGCTGACCCGGGGCGTCACGGCTTCCCCGGGGTCCCCGTCGGCCTGCCGCCCTATCTCCACCTCAGGGGACGCCGAGCTCCAGCGTTTAACACGGTGATTAATCACACACGGCGGCGGACGTGCTGTGCTGAACACGGCCAATCACCTCCATTAAAGCGGGGGAGCTCCGGCGGACACAGAGAGCACTTTGTGCCGAGGAAACACAGGTGATTGTCTGCCGCGACGCCCGGGCTCGGCGGGGAGACATGAGGGTGGACTGTGCGGGTGTTTTGACAACCTCGGCTGGCTTTTCTGGAAACCGCATGTGTGCCTCATTTCCTATTTCGTATCCTGGCCCGGTCACTAGGATTACATGGGATAAATACAATATAGATCACTGTTTTATCAGTGTACTCCTACTTTGATCAGTTAAGGTCACTCCGCAAACTGTACAACAGCAAAACGTCTGTGAGCTAATTCACAAGTCACGTCCATCATGCTAATGGAGAAGCTCTAATGAGATACTTTCTTGCTCCATTAATATTCTGCAGTTTATCTCCAGAAGTGGTCTCTATCGCCCCCTACGGAGTGTTCCGCCATGCTGCTGCTACTTGTGTGTGACCTCATACAAAATCTAGTTTTTCCATCCATCCATCGTCATCCTGTGTACAGGGTCGCGGAGGGAGCGTATCCCAGCTGACATTGGGCGAAAGGCGGGGTACAGCCTGGACAGGTCGCCAGTCCATCGCACGGCCACATATAGACAGACAACTACTCACACCTTTTCTCTGAAATATTGGAGAGAGTTTTACTTCTTTGGGGCTCGAGCACTTATTTTGTGCTGCTTTTTGTCATTCTACCTAAAACTACTTGCCTGATTTCACACAACTGTCTCTACTTTGGTTTAAAGGATTTTACACAACCAACTCAGCAGCTGTCAGGTTTGGCTTCATTAAAACCTGCAGTTCTCAGTCTATGGTGTGGTTGCCAGTTTTCTGCTTAAATTTGGGTTCACTTTTCAGACTTTTCTCTAATTTTAGCTTTTCTGAGAGTTCTTTGGGCCTCGGGGACTTATTTGAATGAAACAATGAGAGAAGTTGACAGGGAGAATCTGTTTTTGGCCTTTGTTGATCTTCAGGTATATATGTTGTGCATTTTTCTCCTTGAGACAGGACCAAAAACAGCTTCACCATGAGCAGATTGAGTTTGCTCATAAATATGGTCAAAAGGTTCAGAACAAGCGAGTAAGTAGGCTGTGATTTGGGTAAGATTTTGCTAACTGTTGCTTCCAAGGTCAAGAATGAACTCACAAGCTAAAGTTTAAATGTTATTGCCTTTTCACCTGTTTAACCCAAAAATCTATTGATCGACTCCAGACTGTCCAGAACTCAGCTGCCAGGCTTTTAAGCAGAACAAAGAAATATGACCACATTACTCCTGTTTTAGCTTCATTACACTGGCTCCCAGTATGTTTTAGAATTGACTTTAAAATTCTATTGATCACTTTTAAAGCTCTTCATGGCCTCTCGCCTTGTTATATTTCTGAACTTTTAGTCCCATACACACCAGCACGTACCTTGAGATCCTCGGGCAGAGGTCTGTTGTCTGTTCCAGAGTCTTGACTGAAAACTAAAGGGGACAGAGCGTTTGCTGTCAGGGCCCCGAGGCTCTGGAACAGCCTGCCCGAGGAAATCAGGTCAGCTGAGTCAGTGAACTCTTTTAAGTCCCTTCTTAAAACATACTTTTATAGGAGAGCTTTCCCGATCTTATTTTACTTTATTTTATCCCTTTTATTCTATTCTATTTTAATAATTTTATATTTATCTTAAACGTGTATTTTAATTTTTTCAATGTTTTCATGCTTTTATCTTGTATTGTTTTTGTATTATTGTCTTTTGGGTATTATTGTCTTACACTTGTTAAAGCACTTTGTAACTTGTTTTTGAAAAGTGCTGTACAAATAAAGATTATTATTATTGTTATTATTATTAGAGAAAAAAAAATCCAAAACTGTATACTTAAGTTTTTGATTTTGCAATAAAATGTGGCTCAGTATTCTTATGCAACCTTAAAATAGATTGTCCTTCCTAGAAAAACATTAAACAAGTTACTGGTGCTTAAAACCACTCAGTGTTGACAGGGTAGCTACCTGTACAGGTTGCCCATGAAACATTTGGAGGTGTGTTTGAGTTAACTCAATGTGTTGGGAAGGATGGCAGCAGGATAATTCCTAGTTTCACCTTTGCTTGCATTATGAAATTATGGTTTTGTCTCATGAAAATAATGATACAACTTTTCCACCAAAGCAGCACAATGTATGCAGTGCATCATCACATGCTGCAGTATAGATGTCTAGTGATATGATCAATCCAGAGAAAGTTGATAACTGGTAGAGCTTGGACGCTCAGGGAGTGAAGCCAATCAAGAGAGCTGTCAAAGAGGCTTTTCATTAGCCCAGCAGGAAGCTGGACAGCAGTGTCACCGATGGGGACTCTTCAGTCTGGCAGACATACAGGCGGGCAGAGCCTTGGCACTGGAAGTGGAGCCGGCATTCTGGTGGAGCAGTGGCTGGCACCAGGAGCCGCCTGGCCTCTCCAGTGGCAAAGAGGGAGATCACACACACTCCGCCACACTCCTGCTGAGGAGCAAACGGAGGCTGGCAGGGAGGGCTGCTCCTGAAAAGCTGCTGTTGTCTGGAGATGGCTTTCATGTGAATGGGAGCCTTAACAGGCGTTGTGCGACGGCTCTCGCTGCACGCTGAGCACCGAGTGATCCTCTTCTGTTGAGTTTTAATTAATAAGCAATGTTTGAAGGCCACAATGCACTTGGAGAGACAACACAGTGACTCCTTGGTGGCCTTGATGCCGTTTGTTTTTGAGTCGAACTCCCACTGAGGTGACCACATACGCTGGGAGGTGCTGATGTTTTTCATAAACTATTTTCACTCATTCAAAAAAAAAAAAAAAAAAGACAGAACACTTTAAAGGTCTACCAGAGTGATGTGACTAAGTTATGATACTGAAAGTATGAAATGGCAAAAGCATCTGAAAAAAAGCCCAAAACAATGTTAGTCAGTCAAATATGTGGGTAAAAGTAATGGTAGAGCACAATTGTTTTCCCTCCAGAATGTTAAGTTCCTAAAGTAGTCAACTTGTAAAATTACAGTTTTTTTTTCAGAGTTTGTAGTGATGCTGTCATATGCAGTGCCTTCTTTTGAACACTTTATCCTCAAAAGTAACAAGCCAAGATGCCACCCAATCGATACCCTTTGGTCTGAAGCATTTTAGGAAGGGCCATCTTATACTGTCACAATAGCGCTGAACCAGTATTATGCAATAGATGTATCAAATGTTCATCAAACATTTTCAGCCAAGTGTTGACCTACGCTTTACTAAAATACACCATCCCTGTAAGAATTCTAAAAATACAGATGACACGACCCATGAGGACAGGCAATGCGCTTCTCTTCATAATTCTTTGATGGACTGAAGGTGCCACCTGGTGGATTATAAAGACATCAGCAACTGAAGTGCAGTCATCAATTGTACTTACTCACAATATACTGGCATTGCTTTGATTCATGGAAGAACTCCAACACAGGTGTGAAATAAATCTAGAGTCAAATCATGTTTGTCCTAGCCTAAGAAAATGAGACCATATATTTAATAGTCTCCATTGTTTCACAAAATCAATGTGCTCTAGGGAATAACTGACACTAAAGTACACAGCATTTTCAAATGGTCCAACAGTTTCAGGGTGGGATTGGAGGTCCTTCTTTAATCTTCACAGTGTGGAGTTGAGTGACCTGATGAACCCAACAGCAGCAATGTCTGTACTACAAATACAGGGTCAAATTCTTGTGGCGCTGAGGAAACCCCAACTGATCAATAACAGTGCAATGCAGCAAGGAAACACTTGAGTTATTAGGACAAAAGGGTAGTAGGACATCTTACAGCAAAGATCATTTTAATGGTCCCAAATATTCTGAACAACTAAGTGTACACTCATGTAAAAGGAAAAAAAAAGAGAAGATATGACAAAATTCATCACATCTAGAATTCCACTCAATCTTTAATCAAGACGGGATTACAAATTCTCCAAAAAATCTGCAGTTTCAAAGGGCAAAAAGGGTAAAACTAGCTCACCTACTGAGGTCTTTAAAAACCTGTTCAAGTGTGACTGAAAACATCCTGAACATTTAAAGGCAGGTCTTTTTTGTTGTCATTTACAAAAAAAACAGGAGAAAGATTGAGAGACAAATACAGAACAAAAAGAAAATAATCAAGAAACTGCTGGCTTTTTTTTTTCTCTTCAGAGAAAGAACGTCCGCTGAGGAACGACGACACTGATGACATCATCAAACGACAACAAGGACAGCTCTTTGCCAAATGCTGCCTCCCGTCTGGTCCTATATACTAACTTAAAAAAAAAGGGACAATAAGCAACAGACAGAGAGGGAGAAAGAGCAGAGGAGAAAAGAAGTAGAAAGAAACAAGGAGGAAGGTAAATTCTGAGGAAGGGGTGGGGGTGCGAGTGGTGGTTCTGGGTCTGAATTGGCCGACCCATTTGGGCCGCTGTGATGTCCTTCCCTGAGTGGGGGGTGGGGGGAGGGGCAGTGGGTTATGGTCCGAGCCCGTAAGCTCTCTGGGATTTCACTCTGCGTGTACATGTGTATGTGGTCTTTTCCTCCAGTTGCTAAATCACCAAAGTCCAACCCGTCTCATACTGTCCAAGTGTGCAGACGATCTTTTGAGTGTGATCTTTTCCCCCCAGCTTTCACACGTCTGTTCCACTTTTCAGACGGGTTTTCACTCCTGGTTTCCTGATTGGCACTTGTATGAAGTGGGCTAGTCTGAGGAGGCTTGGTATCCATTCCGTCTGCTCCTCTTTTGGCCACCCGCTGACGGCGAGGGGTCGCTTTCATTCAATTTCTTTACAAGTTTTATCATTTCTGTGTAAAGTCGATTCGCTGAAACTGTCTGAGCGGAGCAAAAGTTGAGACAGTGATGCTTATTTTTTAATTTTTTTTTTTTTTTAATTTATTATTATTTTTTTTTTTAGGAGCTCAGTTTGGACTTCTTTGAAGGTGGCAGAGGTTCCTCTTTACTTTCGCCATCATCCTCCTCTTCTTCCTCCTCATCGTCATCGTCAGGATAGTCAACCAGTCCCACTAAACCACCCTGAGGAAGACAAGAGACAAACTTCAAAAACATATGAACGTATTATTTCGTCAGCATAACACTGGTAAACTTTCGTTTGGGCTTGCTACGCGATACTACCTGCACATTAAGTAGATTAATAACTACAATTTAGCAGCTCTGTTGTATTAAACTTCAGTTTTCCTCAGTTTCTCTTCGCAACTTCACCACTTCCATTTTTCCATTGCAGAAATCTATCAATTGTGGGAACATTTTCAACATTCAAAACATAACCCATTAGTGCTCAACCAACTGTCCCAAAGCTGTCTGTATTTTGTCTCATCTTGTAACTCATTTTGTGTAGTGATGTTGCCGTTGGTAGCAAATGCACTTGTTTTAAAACCAACTTGACCCATAAACCACGTAACTTTGTTGATGTGCGATTGTTAGCCTTATTAAGACAGGGGGAAATGGAGGGATGGAGACTAACAAGTACAAAATCTGTACTGTCCAATGCCACACTGGTGATGATGACGACCAGTCTTTGTAATACACAACAAGTATGGTGGGAGTGAAAAGTGGCAGTCTAAGTGTGAAGATTCATAGTTGAAGCTCAATTTCCACCAAATTCTTCCTTCCTTTCAGTTAAGTAGTGTTTGACAAAACAGACATTGTGCGAAATAATTTTTTGGCTTTGTCTCTCAATAACACTGAAGTTGAATCTTCACAGAAAATGACTCAAGTTAAAGACCCACACCATTACCATTAACATGCCGACAGGTACCTTTGTGGTTACAGTTGTGGTGGAGGGTGAGCTCCGTGCCCCTGAACCTGGAGAACCCGGTGATCCCGGAGAACCTGGGTTCAATGAGGCAGACGAAGGTGGGCTGGACAGGCTGGCTTTAGTTGAGCCAGAGAAGGCGAGCTTGAAGCTGGGGTTCTGCCTGCCTGATAAGCTGGACTTCCCCAGTACTTCTTTGTCATCTGTGTCTTTCACTGTGGGCACAGAGGGAGAGGGGGACAAGAAATGGTCATTCTTCCAATTACAATTTTTTACAAAGTCTTTTCCTGAGAGTATTCCCTACTCAGTGCTTCTCTAAAACTCCTACTTGTTAATGACCTTTCTCACACTAATATAACTCTTAAAAGTTCAGCCTCTTATTTTAAAGATATATTAATGCACTTTCTAAACTGCATAACGATTTAGACACCCCACACAACAGATAGGGGATTCTTTTTTTAAAATAAACACCATTAGGAAGAATTTTCTGTCCTGTAACAAATAACTACAAAGATTCTATCTAACCTCACAGTTCCCCACCAAAGTATCTACTAAGAGTAGAAAACGCCACATTTCCATACATACATTTCTTTCTCTCCATGAACTTGCTTATAGGTTCCATCAGGTCTTCCTCAGTCTTCATCTTGTCAGAGGGAGGAACAACTGCCTCACCATCCTCGAGGTCATCCTCATCTGTGTTGAACCACATCTCCTCTTCATCCTCCAGTGTTCGTGCATCACGGCGGAAGCGGTGGTTCCTCAGGATGGAACGCATGCTGGATAGGACAATGCACCGTTTAGTGGTCACAAAACAAAATACACATTAGTGTTGACCAATAAATGTTGAGGAATAAACGGGTGAAGGACCTAAAGACCCTAGTGTTTATGGTCAGGCTGCAGCCTCTGTCCTGCTGTGCGCGTTGGCTTACAGACAGACAGACAGCAACGGGGCGAGAGGAGATGCTGAGAGAATATATGCACCGCGCAGCTCTGTCTTCAAATACGATTTTACCCATTTTAAATGTTAACAAACTCAATCGAAAATCAGCGTTGATAATGTGGCAGGCTGCCACAAATAAATCAGTGTGTGGGAAACACCTACTGTCGAGGTTATTCAGCTTGATCTTTATTAAGGTGAGGGTGTCAGCATCTGTGACTGAAGTAAAATTAATTTGCTGAAGGCTGCAGTACATAACGTGAGGCTACACGCTGCAACATTATCCTCACTTTGATCGCGTTACAAGACTAGTAACAGCTGGCATGGGTCTCAGTTATTGTTGACAGTTTAAGATGCATGTTAGCAAGTTATGGCATAAGAGAGAAAAGGCATAATAGCCAATGGTAACTTACACGGTGATCAACCTTTATCCGTCATGGTTGGTTGGTTTTTATTGTAGAAAACACTTAATGGCTTACTTCAACAACCGAAACATAAAACGGTGTTGAAACAGTATTAGATTACAAAAAAGCCAAAAGAAAACAAAAGAAAGAAGAATAGTGAGTCTCATTAAAGTATCATAATGTCCGTCCGTATTGCAAGGGTCTTGCTAAATGTGGTTGATGGATTTTATCGTTTGAGAACGTGCGCCGCTTTAAATGTTGCCGGCGCAAGGAATTGTGGGACGGCATCTCTCCTTTCCTTTCATAAAGGATGGTCAGGTATACCCTATGCTAAAGGAGACTCAGTTAGGAACCTTCCTAAGTAAAAAAAAGACTTTTCGAACGCAGCCTTGGAGTTTTCTTCACTTCACTGTCTCCACCCTCTCTCTCGGCACAGTTACACTGTCATTCTGTGGAAAACACTTTATTTACATACAATTGGGATTCATTGTTGATAAATACGCCTATGGGTGGGCAGGAGGGTGAGTGTGAGCAAGCATTCTCAATGCAACAACCCTGTCCATTATTTAGTGACTGGTAGGCTACATTATCTGCCTTTTTGCTATCTTGGTTAATAAGTAATATATTCCACCGTGTTGTCCACCTTTAGATTGCCTGCATTACAACAACATGGGGCGCAGTGTCAAAGATGCGCTTTTCCTAGTCCATCTTCGGAATATTGTAGTTTTATCACGGCAAGCCACATCAGTAACATCCGCCGTCGCATAATTACGTCGCTTAGAAAAGAGCAGTCAGATTCTCTGAGCCCTGCGGTCCTCTTTTCCTAAGTCCTTATGAATCCTCCTTTACATTGTTCCTTGACCTCAAGGCCTTTTTTCCATCAAGGTCAAGGAAAGGAGGTTAGGAAAGGAGATTTTTTTGACTTTGACCGCAGCCCATGATTACTCAAGTTGACAACAACTACACTTGTTGATGTAAGTACATGTACTAAAACCTTTGCAAGGAAAAAAAAACCTCAATCAATACACCTGTTCAACAAGCATAAACATATAAAATATATTTTAATCTGTTCTGTCCACAGTGTCTCATCAACTATGTTTTACACAAGCACAGGCCCACAGCTAATAGTAATTGTAACAAACAAGCTAAATCGAAAGCTGTCTGTATGCACAACAAACATGAACCATTTCTGAGAATTGCTGGATATCAACACAAGAAAATATCCCATCAGCAAAGTAAAGTTTAAAAAAGAAAACACCTGTCGGTGTTGGCAAGTCTGCTGAGTTTAACTTGCGACAATAAAAATAATGGTCTTAAGCTACATGCTCTGCCTGCACAGTGTCACTTTCTGATCTGACTGTGTGGACTTCAGTCAGTCATAGATAATTAACTGTTGCACAACACTTGCTTTTATCAAATCAGTGTAGTACAAGCATACAGGCTGAATTTCAAAAGATGATATAAATAAAATAGGACATACTTAAAACAAAACAGTATGCACTTTCAAAAAATGGTAGTCTGACAGAAGACACCTAACTCCCCAAAACACAAACACAAAAAAGAAACGATACATTGGTCATTTTAGCATATTATGTGAGTTCTCTAACTGGGACATAATTTTGATTTTCATATTGATGCTTTGTCTGTGAGTGTCTCACAATAAATGGAAAGAACACTGATTACTGTCAGTGCCAATCTTTAGTGACAGTGTAATAGTTGTAGTAGTAGTAGTGCAGCCTTGGTTTTCTCACCTATCCAGTTTGGGGTTGTCTTGCCTCTCTCGCTGCTGTTCATACCGCAGCTTTAGGCCCTTGAACGTTTGGACATAGTCAACATCCTCAAGAGCCTTCCAGTAGTTCTCTACTATATGAGCTGTGAGAGACTTCACATCCTCCTGGGAGCAATGGGAGTGGAGAGAAAGAGGAGTGTAGAAAACCCAGTAGAAGCGGAAATTGATGGAAAAAGTATTGAAAAGTCAGACAAGTGGAGAAAGTGAGGAATGGAGAGAAACAGAGAGGGGAGATCACACCAAACAAGTTAAAATGAATCAATAAAACATATGTAGCACACGTTTTTACTTTTGGGAATGTAGTGAAAAGATCATATTCTATCAACTCATATTTATAAATCATTGTACACTTAAAATAGTATGTTCTTTTGAGGTGTATAAAATGTCAGGCTGGCAGATAATCAATTTACCTTGCCTAAATGGAAAGTTGAAAAAAGTACACAACTGAATGAGACAAATGATCAAGAATTCTGTCAATTGAGGTGAAATCAGTAAATCAGTGTATGTTCTCCAGTGATCCATACATCATCCTTGCGACAGCGTAAGACATGAGTGGTTTAAACAGGTTTTATGAGGCTGTTTACCCCTGGCATTAAAATACGTTTTGGGTGATGGGACTGTAATCAGATGTGCTTAATCACATTAAAGTACGGGTGCAAACGCACTGGAGATGTACCGATGACGGACTGTGAGCCAATTGGCCAAACCACCTCCAGAGGTGGTCAGGGAAGCATTGTGGCCACACTGAACACAAGTGTAAATGTAAATGCATTGTCTATCTGCATACAACAACAACGTGAGCAGAAAAATGTACCGGTCGCAGCCTCCCCCAAATAAAATTCAAAAGTCTGACAACACATCCAGGCAGTGTGTCCATACAGTGTTGTGCATAAATGCATTTCAATAGCGCCAATCATTGAACATGCTCACGATTTTTGTCAACAGTGAACTGAATGTATCCGTTTGTGAATATGAACTCACTTTCCGGCCGAGCTATTACATCGGTGCACCGAGAGAGAGGAAAACATGGGTATATAATCCATGGACGAACACAGATCACAGTGGAAAGACACGTTCAGAAAGTTGTTATACAATCTGTCATTTTTTGGACGCACGCAAACAAGAGCATCATGTGATGTTAGGTTTTTTGAGCTGGACAATGATCGGATACTGGAGATGCATATTAATACCAGGTATAAATGTAAACAGTTTAAAATCATATCCAGATTCAATCTGGAAATGACATGCAATACTCACCACACGGACGTACTCAAACATCTCAATGATGGCTGAGTTCATGAGATTGTAGCGTGAGCCGTTATTGAGGAAGGCCTTAATGACAGGTTCAAAGAGGAAGTTTCTCATGATGTAGCGATTGTAAAACTCATCCTTCAGACCAATGATCCTCCGCATGAAGCGCAGGGCACCTGGGCACAGAAAGACAAAAGATGAATTTTGAATTAGTTTCAAAATGAGCTTTCAAAGGTTCAGTTGTTTACAAATGTGTCCGATTGGACTGGCACTAAAAATTAAAGCTCTAACTGTGATTGCATGTGACTCACATAGTGCCAGGAAGGCGTGCTGAGAGGCAGTGAGCACCAGCACCCTCCTGAGAATGTCCTTGTTGATGATGTAGTTCTTGATGTGATAGGTGTGGTGCTCAACACAGAATGTCAGCAACTCCAAAATCAAGGCCAGCAACTGGGATGTCTGAAAATCATCTAACAGAATACTTGTGCATTAATCTCAATGTTATTTTAACAAAACCAACACCCATGTACAGATACACCTCGTAGGTATTCAATACCTTTGCTAGGCTTTTCCTCTGTGGTGTTGGCCAGTAGCGGAGCTGAGAGGACGTGCATACAGTGCTTGTAGAAGAAGCTCAAGAACTCTGTCTTTTCTGTTTTCTGGAAAGGAAAATACAGAAAGAACATGTTTCTTCCACAGTAACACCACTTTAATATCTATGCAATGCATGTTTTTACAGTGCGCAATACTTAAAAACAATGGTGATGGTGCAGAGCTAAAGCCTGGGTGTCACAACCTTTTCAGTTACTGGATTGTAACTTTTTCCTTTCATGTATCTGTACTCTGTTCTAACAGCCAATATCTAGATAAGGATCACATTTCTTTCTTTTTTGTTTAAAAGGGGGAATGTGGATATTTAGAACACCGCCAACATTCACTCCTTGGAACAACCTTGTCCTTGCAGAGCTGCCCGGCTTTTGCTCCTGTTTGACTGAACTTAATTGAGCAAGCAAAAAACAACAAACAGTATAAAACATTAAAATGTGCTTCTGGACAAGCTGGATCTAAGTATCAAGTACTCAGATTTACTGACATGGTTAGGAGTAGCCCGCAAACTTACATTTGCAGTAGCCAGCATGTTCTCGGGGTCCACCAGAGTCCGCAGTAGGCCCATCAGCTGCACCGCTCCACCCAGCTCTGGGTCTGTATCACAGATCATGTGTTCTATGATCAGGTTGATCAGGAGGATGTCCTGGCAGACCAATAATAGTCATTAGCACCACAACAGTTGTTTATAGCCACTTGTGTAATATGAATATTAATCTCTGATATTTCTGGCCGTCTTTGTTCATATACTCACATCATCATTCTGCTGAGACTCCTGCATGACAAACTCTCGTACCATGGAGGGGTTGTACTCCACCAGATAAGAGAAAATATCTGTGGCTGCCCCACGCACCTGAACGTCATCCATTCCCTGTTTCATGAACATACATTATATATTTGTCAGTGGATTCCCCTCAGGGATCAATAAAGTCTTATCTTAATAATGAAATGACAACAAATGTGAAAATCAAACAAGGATCCTATCACATAGAAATCCACTGGCACAATTATTTTTTCCTTTCTTCTCAGTTTACTTCTAAGGGGGTGTGTGGACAGGAAAGAGGGGAAGCAAGTATTACTCTCACAATGTCTGTATGTGCAAAAGTGTACACATCCGTCAACATAAGAGCGGTTGATAGACCTGATTGGTGGTGATCCACCTACTATTTGAGGTTTTAATCTGCTTTATGTATTTGTTTATAGGTGTTTTTTCCTGACCTGCAAGTGTTATGTATTCCAAGATTAAGTTATTCACAAAATTGAATCAAACAGGAGGGTGGGGTACAAACACAAGAACATAACCAACTGCATGCTCACAGACTGGCTTGCTAGTTCATTTTGTCTGACAACAAAGTGTATTTGGCAGTTTAATCTGTCCTCTTGTATCAGATCTATGTTACTTGTTTGTTCTTCTGCAGTCACAGGTTTTGTAGTAAAACCAAAGTAAATGCTGCAACTGAAGAAAAACTAGGACTAAAAAAACTATTCATTCATTTGATCATGACAGAAAAGGACGTGAAAATTTCTAAGAAGAGATATCATGACAGTTGTGATGTACTTGCAGTGTTAGTGTGTTTGAATATATTGTCTTTAAGTAGGTAGTAGGCACCAAACTCGGTTCTTAAAGTTAAAACAGAATTAGCGGTAAATCAAGCCAAACACTATGCGAGTTCAACATGCGACTATTTGGTCCTCACATGACCTCTTTATCTGCTTTTAAGAGCATTCCCTCTTTTCAGGTTGTTAATAGCCAACCCCACCCACACAACCACTACACACAACGGCTGTTCGATTATGACAAAATTCATGATTATTTTTGTCATAACTGAAATCACGACAGAGTTACCCATAAGTCGTTGAGCTTCAAGTCAAGTCTCAAGTCACTCGTGGTTAGGGCTGGGCGATATGGCCGAAAATGTTATCACGATAAAAACATTTCATATCATTCGATATTGATAATTATCACAAAAAATGTCAAATCTTTATTTCTTTCAAGTTTAAAGGTTGATTTTTGCTCCTGACTGAAAATTGAAGAAACCAGACGGTTAATTATGTAGTTAAACTTTTCTTTACAGTTAGAATGGGACAAACACCAAACGGTGGATCACAAATCTAAGGGAGAACATTCAAAACTATTATGATAAAAAAAAATAACAAATGATTAGTAAATCTTTTTTCAGTCCACTTTCCTCAACAAAAAATAGTGTCAATTTGTTCGTGATTCAAATAAATTAAACCAAATATTTATTGACGATATTTTGAACATTATATTAATATTGAGGAAAGTTATATTGCGATAATTATCATTATTGTTTTATTGCCCAGCCATACTCGTGGTTATAATGAATGCTGTATCACCTGCTGCGTTCAATCCAGGCTGTTTATAATACTGCTTAGCTATAAGGGATTCTGTAACTGTAACCTGTTTTTCATTTACAGAGCACAACCATGTAATGTGCAGTGCAATTAATGACAGCTTATGAAGTACTGTAAGTCAACACACCCCCAGACTCGCAAACCAGTGTAATGTCAACTAAAGAGGAAGACTACAATACTGTGTGTGTCTGTGTGTGCACGCACACATGGAGTGCAACAGAGCAGGTGACAGGTGAAGTATTTCAGTTCACAACACCTCATTATGTTACAACGCTGAAATTCAACAGTGCTGTTCTGTCGGGAGATGCAGTTACTTAAACTAACGGTGAAAAGTATAAATCCGGTAATACAGACGAGGACACGGAGAATGTTTACAAGCAATGACCACGTAAAGGAAGGCTTAAAACACCGGGTGAGTATAAGCATAATAATGTAAATTGTAACGCACAGAGTAGATGAACAGTCCGCTAGCTGCTAGGCTAATTATGCACTGTAAAATGCCATAGCAATTAGCAGTTATTACGCCGTCATCTCGGTGGGCCTTTTAGGGAGGGGCGGGGGCCCGTTTAAAGGAAGGGGGCGCTGGATTTAAAATGCAAGACAAAACGAGTGTTATTGCGAAACAGCATGCGGCACTA